AGGTGCCCCTCCCCTTTGGGCCAATGGTGTCCCAGGAACCTGGGCCCTGAGCGAGCGCATCATCCCCCAGCCCGCCCGTCCGAAGCCCTGGCCGCGCTGGAGTTCTGGGTCCAATTAGGCAGGGATGTCAGGAAGGGTCTGGACAGGAATCCAACAGGCGAACGTGGAGGGTTTGTTAGACACTGGTTCCAAACCAGCAGGAGTCAGTCCTACGGCATCCGACTGCCGGAGTGAGTGGCTGTGACTCCCCGTGGCCAGCGTTTTGCTGGGTTAATGTAAACTGCCTTGTCTGCAGGGTTTGCTGTCACCCCTGGACCAGGCCAGTGCTCCAGGTGGAACTGTAGTGTAGCGACCCTGTACCGCTCAAAAATTCTCACCCCAGACCCAGTCCTAAGGGAGGGACCACGGAGCCAGTGTCATGAGCGGCACATCAGCCACGAGCGGGGGGTGGATGTCACCGAGTCGTGAGCAGAAGTCTCACTCAGGGCAGGGTGCTCGGAAGGGCGCTCACTGCTCACCCAAAGTCGTTTCCATTTTAAATCATTTGGGGGGGGGGGGGCTGCAGTAAAAAATAAGAAATGAAATTTTCTTACTTTTTCCTCTAAAATTCAATGTAATGAAAGTCTCCTATCTATATGTTAAATATATACATATATACCTAGTGTAGAAAGTCCAGCTGTTACAACCAGTGCTTCGCCCTGCTGTGCTGGTCGGAAGGCAGCCCGGACGCACGGACGGGCCGCTTTCCCACTGCAGTGCCACGCGGGGAGACAGACCCGTGTTGCACTTTTAGTTTAATGCTGTTAAAAAACAATTACTTTAAATATGGGTATAACAGCCCTCCAAGGTATAAAGACCCCCTTTTTTAAATCTCTTAATGTTTATTTTAATACTCTTGTTTCCAGTGCAATCAACTATGTATCATACGTAAAAATACTGTAACTGCTATTGGTTACTTCACTAGTAACTGCCATCATCTAAGAGTGATCGTTCTAATTCACGAAAAATATTCATATTAAAACTATCTTGAATATAGCTTTTGTTTATCTTCTGTTAAGTTGGCTCCATTTTTCGTGAAATTTGTTGTACATGTTGGGTTTGTAGTTGCTTTGTTCTCTCTACACCCCGCGGTTCCACCGGTCTGATTCGAGACAGTTCGAGTGTGCAGCCAGTTGCTTTCTCCCTCGGCTTCAAGGCCACGAGTCCACCCTTTGTCACTGGAAGCCCACGGCCACACGGGGCTCTGCAGTGAGCGTGAGAGCTCTGTTAACTGCACGGTGACGAGAACTGGCCAGTGAAACCAGGGGCGCTTCTCCCTGGTTGGAACCAGCTCCGGCGCAGTCGGCGTGGAGGCCACGCCCCCACTGCTTCCAGACTCCGGGCTGCTGGAATCACGGCAGTGTGCAGCCACCAACGTTTAAAATGTCATACGCAGTTGGACCCTGTGACATCACTTATTTCATGAGACTCTTTAACCGTGAAGTGTCTGAGAAACATTTCCCAAAGGGATCACACTGGATCTGGGGTGCGTCTGTGTGGTTTCAGCTAGAACGGAGGCAGGCACACCTGTGACGGTCACCATTGATGTGACTGCAGCGACAGGACGGTGGCACTGTGCTCATCAGCCCAGGTCTCGACCATCCTCGAGAGGTCACAGTGGAGTCCCACATGGGCCGCCGGCTGGAAGGGTGCCCTCGGGGAGCCCCAGCCCCTGGCAGAGACTCCAGTCCTGGGCACTGGGCAGGGCGTGAGCCTTCCAGAAAGGCGACTGCAAAAGGCTAAGACACGCTACTGTCTTAAGTGAATGAATCCGAATGTGCGTCCGACGCCTTTACAGCGACCTCCGTGCTGAAATGAAGTGTTAGCGCGTTCAGGCAGCTCGCTGCTCGGTGCTTCCTAGTCCCAGGCTGGTCTCCAGGTGCCGTCGGCGACACAGCAAACCCACCCACGTGGCTCCAGAAGGCCGACTGGGAAGCCACGTGTGTCTCTGAAGACCAGGAAATCAAGACCGGAGTTCTCCATCCTGGGATCCTGCCGGGGCAGCCTCCTGTCTACGTGTGGGAGGTGACAGGTGAGACTCGGCTCGGCTCCAGGACAATCCCGTGTTCAAATCCAAGCTCAGTGTGGTGAAGCCCCCCTGATCCCCCCCGGCTTTCACCGTGCTGTGATTTACGTGGCTCGAGGTGGCCAGTCCAGCTCTGCCTGCTGCCTGTCACCCTCAGTCCGGCTCTGGCTGGAGTGCAGTTTGCTGCCGGCCGCACGTCTTGGTTTGCTGCAGATGCAGCTGGGTAGGAACACATCTTTATCTTTAGGGCTTTGTTCCTAAGATTGGTCCCTGGCCAACTGGTCCGAGATGGTTTCCAAAATCAAATCGCATTGTCACTGTCCCTCCCGCCACCACCACGGCAGACACGCAGTGTTCTGCAGCCAGGCCAGCCTCCAGCCTCACTCAGGCACTGTGGACAGAGGTGAAGTCTCTCAGCAAACCCGGTGTATTTCGTTTGCATCTCTGTCCTGCCTTGAGCTGTCTTCCACGTTAGGAGTCGGCGAGTGTGCGCCCGTGTGTAGGGACGGGTCTAAGGGCAGCAGAGGGGCGGGCAGCCCAGGGGGCGGAGTCCAGCTCAGCCCTGCTCCCCTGCAGCCAGCCTGCGGACTGCGGTGTGGCCTGGCCAGAGAACCCACGCCAGGTGTGCCCTTCCCGTCTGGGCGGCAGAGCCCGGGTCACTGGGCAGCATGGTCTGCCTTTGCTACTCCGAGCCGGTCACAGCACCAACACGCTGAAGTCCGAGAAGGTCCTGGACTGAGACGTCCGCTCACTGCCGCTGCTCTAAGCCGGCACAGCAGCCCGGCCCCACCTGGGAAGCAGCTGGGCTCTGTCCTTGGGCCCCAGGCGTCCTCTTTGGCTGAGCTCGGGAGGCCTCAGCACTCGGCAGGCGCTCAGGAAGCGTGGAGATGAGCCAGTCTGGCCGGGTGGCGGTGAGGATGAGGCGTCGGCCGCTCCCCTCTGGAGTTCTGTGGGGGCGGTGCCAGCGCTTTGGGAGCCACTGACTAGCGCTGCCCAGAAGGCCTCACCCAGCCTCGCCGCCTTCTTCCCAGTCTCCCAGTTGGGAGGGCAGACCCTGCCGGTGCTCAGGCGGTGGGCGGGGAGGCCTCCACTGGGGCCGCAGCCAGGCAGGGAGCCAGAGCCCTTCCCGCCAGAGCAGGTGGGTGAGCTCCCGCCGCAGAAGCCGCTCTCCAGGGTGCGTGGCCTCGCCCTTGTGCACTGCTGCTCACGCCCTGCCGTGGACCAGGGTCACACTGCCTCTCGTGGAGGCAGGCTGGGTGGACGTGGCCCCTGTGGGCCTGGGGAGCTGGGCTGTGGCATCCGGGGTGCTTCGGAGCAGGTTTATTTCAGAGACCAACATGACAGCTCATGTCCTTCTCAGGCCAGGCTTGCCCCGGAGCCCCCAGCCCGTCCCCACTGTGGGGGCGACAGCTGTCGCCAAGTAAGGGCTTGGGTTTCCTGAGAGCCAGCACCCACAGAGCTTTCAGGAAGGTGTGCAGGAAACTTCAATGACTTCTTCTTCAAATGTACACTTAGCGGGGAGAATGATGCTCCTAAATGCACCAATACCTGTTTGTCTGTACATGTGCCCAGACTGAGAGCCCTCTGGGGCTGTCGGGCGGCCCCACCCCACCGGACTCAGGGGGTGTCCACCCGCAGGTCCCTCTTCAGGCCCAAACACCTGCTCACACCTCCTGGCGTGTCTCCCTGGCCCTTCCCACGCCGGGCCCAGCACCTCCTGTTTCCTGCCTTCTGCCTGTCTGTGAATGTCTCAGCCCCCCAGGACCCGGAACCCCAGGGCCCTCTGCAGACAGAACAGCACCCTTCCTGCCCAGTGCTGTCCCAGAGGCCCCACCGTACTTTCCAGTGGGTCTAAAGGAAGCTCTGTCCAGCCGTTCCGCAAGTGCACCGAGCTCTGAATGTCACCGTTGTCTTGAACCTGCCCTTCCGGGGCATCTCTTCCCCCACGTGGCCCCACCTACGTCCGTGGTCACGGCCCTGCGTCTGCCCCGAGCCCGTAAAATGCTGGTTCCAGCCTGCCCCTCCTTCCACAGTCCAGCTCCCCTCACTCTGGTTCTGCTTCACCACCTGTTAGGTGGGCCGGAGGTGGTGGCCAGGGGAGAGCCCATGGAGGGGTGTCCCAGATCCATGAGTTGGAGGAGGGACACTCAGTGATTAGGTTACAGCAGCCAAAGGGGACCCCGTGGGGTCTCTGTTCTGCCCAGCAGCCGGGCCCACACCTTCCCTGACTCTGCAGTGCCCACCTCTACCGGGGCAGGTTGCTCCTGTGCCCAGCTGCCCCGGCACCGCTGGGCCTCGCGAGCTGGCAGGACGCGGGCACCAGAAAGTCAGTGTGCCCGTGTGGCTCCCTGCATGGCACCAAGGGCACCGGCGCAGGCCTGCGCTTGCTCCTCACGGCTCCCCCGGGAAACAAAGGCAAGCTGCCCTCAGGTCTCAGCAAGACCGGCCCCTGACCTGTTCGTGAAGGCTGAAGTAAAGGAACGGAAGAGCGACACGCTGGCACGAACGGCATCGAGGAAAGCTGTGGTGATGGCCATTCTTTAATGACAGTCCGCATGTCCGCAGCAGCCATGTGCCGCAGCGCTGTTGGCGAGGTGCTAGCCCACGCTGAGCCCGTGGGGAACCCAAGCCTACATAACACGTAACAAATTCTAACTTCTGTTTGGATTCATATAAAAAATTACAAAATCTGTCCTGCCCCAAATTCTTCGGTTACGAACCCAGATTCTTCGGTTACGAAAGTAAAATGGAACCCTCGCGCGAGGTGGTTGTACAAATGTATTAGAGTGGGGCGTACAGTTCAGCCCTTTCGGGATGCGAGGACCCGGCTGGCACCTGCGGGCCAGCGCCCTGCCGCGGGGCTGCGCTCCCCTGGACGGCGGCCGGGCGCCCCCTGCTGTCTGAGAGCCTGCAGACGCGAGGTGAGCGCCGCTGCTCAGTGTGCCCCGCCTTTCCTGTCTAGCGTCGGCAGGCGGCACTGTTTCAGGTTCGGCTTGATGTCCTTCTGCGCCTCTGTCTGGGGAAGAAAACCACAGCTGTCAGGGGAGGCCCGGATGGCGGCAGGAGCGGGCTGGGGAGCTAGCGAGCGCTACCTTCTGGTTGGTGCCCCCACACTTCAGAGGTCTCAGCACCGGGACCTTCCCGCTCCCTCCGGGCCTGAGCACGGACGGCAGGTCGGGGCTGGAGCACGAGAGCTTGGCCACTCCCGGCAGCTTCAGCTGGGGCAGTTCCATCAGGTAGGCCGGGCCCTGTCTCCTGGGACGGTCCTCCTGCGTCGGCAGCTGCTTCTTGAGACAGAACACAGGTCAGCTGAGCCACCGTGGGTTTCCGCCACGCGCCACTCCTGCCTACTCAACTTCTTGACCATGAGCTGTGACCAGACAACAGGTGTCCCGGCCACCCCAAAGTGAGGTGGCCACTCCCTGGGGCCCCACAGCGGGAGGCAACGGCTTGTGCGTGTGGGGTCCTGGCTGCCGGGGGCGGGGCCCTGCCTCCAGCCTGACCCCAGGGCGGCCCAGTCTGCTGCCACCTGCCGCTGTGCGGCTGTGAACTAGCACGGCCGTCCCCTTTCCACAGCTGAAGTGTCTTCGTGGTACGTGAACATGCTGTGACATTCAAATGTCCAAGTCCACCGTTCTATGGGGACACGGCCCGCCATTCGTTCACGTGTTGTCCACAGGGCAGCTGTGACAGGGACCTCATGGCTGCAAAGCCTAAAATGCTCACTCGGTAGCCTTACGGGGCCAGGCTCTGATGGCAGGCGAGACCCCGGTGGGGACCTGCGGGGTGACACATCAGACAGATGTCCAGGCAGCTGGGAGGCTGCTGAGCAGGGGCAACAGTCAGGGCAGATGCGGGGGCCCAGGCCAGGGGAGCAGAGTCTGCGGTTTGGGGCCTGAGCTGCGGAAGGGGACAAGAACACGTCTGGGGACAGGCCGGGAGGTGAGGCCGGGGCTTGCAGCAGTGGATGGAGCCCGGGGTCCCGGCCTGGAGGGGTGAAACCGGGCGGGCGAGCCCACAGAGCGCGAACAGAGGTGGAGCCTGCAGGCGAGGCTGTGGCTTCTGAGCCTGTGTGTGCGGCTCTGTGGGAGGCCGCGCTCACCGGGCTCGGGCAGTGGGGGCGCGCCGGGTCACCTGCCAGTGTCCAGCTTCTCTGCGCCCCCGGGAGGACCGGTCTGAGGGCATGAGGATGACGTCTGTGCTAGAAGAACCCAGCTCCCGTCCTGGACTTAGCTCCGGGGCAGGAAGCAGGACCCTGTGGAGCCCCTCAGGCTGGACACAGCCACCCGAGGGGGTGCAGTCCTGCTCACAGGCCCAGCTCCAGCTCCCCGCCCCCTCAAATACCTGCTTGCTGCCCTCCTTGGAGATCTGCCACTTGTTCCTGAGTAGTTCCGGTGCCACGGGGCGCTCCAGGGAGACGGCTTTTCTGTGGCTGCCCAGAGCCTGTTTCTCCGCTGCCCTGCAGGGAGGAAGCGAGCAGACGCCCCTGAGGACCCACCACGCAGCCCCGTGTCTGTCTTCGGAGGTGTCTGCTGAGTCCTAGTCACTGCCTCTACCATCTGAGGACCTTTCTGTCTCAGCCACAGGCCTGAACTCCTGCCCTGGGCCTTGAGTTAGGGTCAGAGGTCATCTCTACCGTCACACACAGGAGTGGACAGAGGTGTGGAGTCGCACACCTCAGAGCATGGCTTCCAGGGCCAGGCACACCCAACGCGCCCCAACCTTCCAGCGGTCGCCGTCTCCAGTGGGGCGAGCAGGCTCCCCACTTAACAACGCAGCCCCCCTCCGCCTGCCACGGCCGCCGACAGCCTCCTTTGGGGAGGACGGGCAAGGAAAGGGCACTTCAGGACGAGGGAACCGCTCATGGACGCCGCCCCCGCCATGTGCCCCCGGAGTCATCCAGAGCACCCACCTCTGTTCTTGGAAATAGGGGTGCTGCAGGGCCTGGTGGGCAGTGACTCTCTCGTCGGGATCATAGACCACCAGTGCATGCAGGAGGGAGAGGCACAGCGGGGACAGATTGGCTGTCGGCAGAGGTATTCCTGATCCCTTTTTAAAAGGAAAATCAAAACTCATAGCTCTCGACCTGTATTAAAAGCCCAATGATAATAAACGATCATGCCATTACTTAGAGCACGTGGCCCATCCATCGTCACGACTACAGGGACCTGCACTAAGGGTGACCATCTGTGACCTACAGGGGCCTGCGCACAGGGCCACACCCCAGAATGTGCCCACAGAGGGCCCGCTGGGAAGCTGAGGCCTGCAGGGACAGCCAGGCCAGTGCAGGCTCGTCATGTGCGCAGGCGGTCGCCTGGTGCGGGGGGGGGACCTGTGCGGGCACGCGGGCGGTCTGGGCAGCTCTGGGCCCCCCTCAGCTTTGCTGTGAACCTAAAACTGCTCTAAAAAGGCTTATGTTTTAAAAAGAGTGGTGGTGAGATGTTATGCTGCAGACATGGAAGAAACATGCTCTTCCTCAAGGAGACTGAAACCCCGTTTTCAGCTGAGAAGAGTGGAATAAGGTTTAAAAAAAGAAAGACTCCCAAACAGTTGCCACCTCCTTGCCTTCCTGGGCCCTGGAGCTGCTGGGTGCCGCCCACCCTTCCGCCCGCGGCCTCCTGGAAGCCCCACTCCCGGGCTCAACATCCTGACAAGTCCCGGTGGGATGGCGGTGGGCCGGCCCTCCTGCGCGGAGCGGTCCCGGGGAGCCTCGTACCCACAGGCCTCTCTGCTGTGTAAATACTCAGGTCCCAGCAGGGCGGAAGGAACTCCTCTGTGATGTTGAGGGACAGCACCCCTCCGGGATCCCTGGGGGCCCGGGGACGCGCAGCCCCCTCCCGCCCTCGGTCCCTGCTGCAGCCCTGGCGGAGGGGCCAGTCCCCCAGGCCGCGGAGCCCGGCACTCACTGTCTGAACTTGGTGAGGGTCTTGGCAGGGGGCGTGCCCATGATGTCGTGGATCTTCGAGATCTGGTCCAGCTCGTTGGCTCCTGGGAAGAGTGGCTGCAGACTGGAAGGGGAGGCTGGGGTCAGGCCGGTCCCCTCCCCCGACCGCCCTTCCCACCCCGTCCGGTGCCACCCTTCCATCGGTTCAGAGCATTTCGGCACAGGACAAAGGGCGGTCTGCTGGCACTTTTAGCTTCAGTGAAATTGCGACTCACTTTCCAAAGAGAACAGTTAGTTATCGATACGAATGACCTAGAATGAAAGGTGTGCACATGTCTGGATGTATGAAGCAGTCAGAGGAGCAGGTGGCAGCAGACCTGGGTCCCCGCCTATGCTGGGCTCTCTGGTTCAGATCTGCGTCACCCAGACATTGAATTCACCCCACCCCCATCCTTAAGGGCCCACTGTGAGTGGGAGGGTGCCCCCCACCCCTGCATGGGTTGCTTGACCTGACACCCCACTTCCTTCCTCCCTTCCCAAGCCCCAGCCCATCCAGCCCATCCTGTGAAGCCCGAAGTGAGGGGGTGGGGCCGGGATGGTGGTGAGGACAGGGACGGTGCCAGGTGGCCAGAGAAGCCCTCTCGATACATCTGCATCTCCCCAGGCAGGGGGCCCCACTCGCCCCATGGTGGGCCCCACAGTGGCAGTAAGCTGCTCCTCGGCCCCTAACCTGGTGACCAGTCACCAGAGGCCCAGGGCCGGGGCGGGGCGAGAGGAAAGAGGCGAGTGACAGTGTCCTGTCCTCCGTCACAGCAGACATGTCAGGTGGGAAGCGGCCTGGCACCAGGGTGGCTGAGACCCGTGCTGCGAGGGCGGGCCCGGCGGAGGCGGCCGCGGCGGCACAGCACACTCAGCACGGACGCGGGTTCGAGGACGGAGGCCGCGGCCGCTCTACCTGGCGATCTCGTAGAAGACGCAGCCGGCGCTCCACAGGTCCATCTTGCAGCTGTAGAAGCCGTCGGTGAGGAGGCACTCAGGGGCCCGGTACCAGCGGGTGGAGATGTACTCCGTGTACGGCTGCTTGGAGTAGACGCTCCGGCAGGACCCGAAGTCCCCTAACTTCAGGACGTCCTGCTGCAGGGGCAGAAAAACACAGACAAGTGACATCTCGCTGAGAGCTGCTGAAACATAAATATCTCAACTATTTCTGCACGAATGGGAAAACTAGCATCTAAACCGGCTTGTAAAATACCCGTTACCGGCTTTACATTTCTAAGCCCCTGGAGGTGCCCCTGTTCAGGGAAACATGTTTCCAGTTCTGGCTGTTTTACAAGGATTTCCAAATGTCTACAGACTTTGGAAAAAGCTAAGTCACAGTGTGAGCCTGCGATGAGTTACACACCACAGTCCGACACCCCATTGCCCCTCGGGGGGCTCACACCCATGGGCCCTTTGGGCAAGTCAGACAGACCGGGGAGACGGGCTGCAGGATATTTCCTCCATAATCTTTACCCTTCACGTTCAGGTAATAAAATACAGGCTGCCAGCGACTTCCCAGCTTCTGGCACGTACGGCTGCAGCGACCATTAAACACAGCCTATATCCGAGCCCGCTGATCAAGAAAGCCCAGCCTGCAGCACCGGTCAGGAAGAATACATGCACCCCCGTGTTCATAGCAGCGCTATTTACGATCGCTAAGATCTGCAAACAGCCCAAGTGTCCATCAGTAGATGAGTGGATAGAAAAGCTGTGGTACATATACACAATGGAGTACTATGCAGCTGTAAGAAAGAAAGATCTCTTATCCTTTGAGACGACATGGAGGGACCTGGAGAGTATTATGCTAAGTGAAATAAGCCAATCAGAGAAAGACAAAAATCACATGATCTCACTTATGTGTGGAACATAATAAACAAAATAAGCTGGCGATCAAAATAGATGCAGAGACATGGGAGTAGGGAACAGACTGACAAACTTCACAGGGAAGGGAGTGGGGTTGGGGGTGGGAAGAGACAAACCAAAGAACTGATATGCATATTGCACAGCCCATGGACACAGACAATAGTGTGGGGAAGGTGGGGGGGGTCGCTGGGAGAACAAAGGGGGACACCTGTAATGCACAATAAAGATTGAAAAGGAAAAAGCCCGCGCTGCTGGCCTCTGCCTCGACCCCACTCCCCAGGACATCACGTCAGGCTCTCCACAGACAGCCGGGCGTCGAGGGCAAGAGCGCCGTCTGCAGGGCGAAGCAAGCACCGGCAGGGGCTGGGGCGGCACAGGCCTCAGCACTGAAAGAACGGTGATGCATCTGTGAAGGGCTCTAGTGGGAAAAGCAGACGACCTGCAAGTTCGAAAGGGAAATGTCACCAGCGAGATGAAAACTCTGGGAATCACAAGGAAATACTAAAAATTTAAAACAGAAGTAACAGAAATAAAAAATGACTTTGTTGGGCCCATCAACAGACCAAACACGGCCAAGGAAAGAGCCAGGGAGCTGGGAGCTGGGCCGACAGAAACACCTCAAACTGAAATGCAGAGAAAAACAAGGGCAAACACAGAACCCCCGAGAACTACGGGACAATTTCGAAAGTGCTGTGAGATGTCAGTCAGACCAAAAAGGAGAACATACTATCTAATTGCATTTATAGAACATTCTGGAAAGTGCAAACTGACTCTATAACAACAGAAAGCTGTCCCTCCGTGCAGGGACGAGGGGCACGTGTTCGGGGTGATGGGCTTGCTCGGTGAGTGGACTGTGAGGTGGTTTCACGGGTGAGCACAGCCCACACGTGGCCGAGTGCACCTTCCACCTGTAGAGGCTGAGGGGACCCAGCCCCGCTCGAGTCCCGACTCTTCCTCTTTCACGTGTGGAGGGTGTGGGATGACCGTCTGAATGGAGTTTGTTTTTGTACATAGTCCGAGGAGGGGCTTAAAGCTATTTTCTTCCAGATGTATGACTATATTGATGACATTGATTAAATAAACCATTTTTCCAAACTGGGAAGGAAAAAATATATATATAGCAAACCTGGTACCCAGTTATCTGGCACTGACACAGTCTACTTTTATTCGGGTACCGTTTTTCCATAGAAAAGCCCTTACCTTTATTAATATGTTTTCTGGTTTTACATCTCTGTGAAATATTCCATTTCTGCACGCAAAATAAAAGGAAGGGTAGTGTCAATCGTACCTTATTCATTCAGGTGGGTCTACAGTGCATGTTTAGTGAGGTCGGCACGTGCCCAGCGCACCCCCTCCGAGCGTACCTGTGCATGTGATCGAGGGACCTACACAGCTGGTGCATGTAGTGCATGACTCTTTTCTCCGATAACGGATGTCTTCTCCCTGTGCAATCGAGGAAACAGCCGAATACAGTTACCGATGGTGCTTGTGCCCTTTTTAGAAATCAAACACAGATCCGTTCTTATTTACTAATGTGTGAGCACCTGACTCCCGCTGGGAGGAAATCTGGAGCCGTTATAAGAAGCCTGGAGTGCGCCTACCAGAGACCACTCAGACGTCCGCCTGGCCCTTCGCCAGGACCCACGTGCCTCCTCCTGATGGCTGTATCGGGTGAGAGCCACAAGACCGGCGTGGTCTGACAGCCTGGCCCGGGCCTGGGGCCTCCCTCCAGGACGTCCTCCTTCAAACTGCTGACGACGGGACACCAGGGGTCACTTGCAAACCCAGGGTTTTCCCAGTCCCCTGTCTGGATGGAGGGCTCCATTCAAAGGGGGATAGATCAGTCTAACAGAAGTGCGTGGTTTAATCCAAAAGGCCAATGGCTGCTTTCTTTCCGGCCCATGGCTCTGACCAAAGGCAGCACCCTCCCGCACCTCGGGCTGGCCAGGGCCCTGAGCAGACCTGAGTCCCTGCCGTTGCCCCGCGTGTCCCTGCTCCCCACACCTTCCTTCCCGCAGGTCTGTGCGGTGCTCTGACCTGCTGTACTCTGGCAGCATCCTTATCTTGTTCCTGAAGATCTCAGTCCACTTGATTTTAATTTCAAAGGTGTGAGTTTAAGCTATTGAGCTTTAAATCTGTGAGATAACCATTCTCACCTGCCAATTCGGAGAACATCACCCCTCCGCGAGCACAAATCCCATTGACCTTTTGGGCCCCGCACTTCCCGCTGCCTTCAGTCCCCAGAGGAGGCGCCCTGCTCAGGGCCCCGCCCTTCCTTTCCTCATGGCCCCCACCCGTTCACAGCCCTGGGTAGGGACGGGCGCTGCCCCAGGAGAACCCGTGCCTGAGGAGCGAAGCTGCAGACGGAGCCAGGCGTCCTTGTCTGTCTGAGCCATCCTGACCAAGTTCCTTCTTCCCAGTTCACGCCTACCTAACATTCTCATTAAGACTCTAAAGAATGTCACATATAACACTAGTCATGTGACAAACATAAACTGTGGCCTTTGCTGTCAGTCCCCACTGAGAAAAGGTGTCACCTGTGCTGTGACAGAATTATCACACACCGCTTCCCACCAGAGACCCGTCCGCAGGCCTGCGCCTGGCATCGCTGGCCGGGCTTGCCGGCGCACGTGGGCGTCCACCCTGGCACAGCCAGATGGCCCCGAGGCTGTGCCCCACAGCACCACGCGTGCACATGCCTGCTGTCTGCGTTCGCCAAGGAGGACCCTGCATTCTGGCGCCCAGTTCCGAGGTTAGAGATCTCCAGGTAAGACTCGCAGAGCCTGAGCCATGATGGCACCCCCTCTCATCGACCACGGCCACACCCAGAGACTGGGTCCTCCCACTCTGCTCTCCGAAGCTGGCTCGTCTTAGGCAAGTGCTGTAACGTCTTGAAATTCTGTCTCCTCAGCTCCGCTCCACTGTGGACGGTCAAGTACCCACAGCAGTCCGTGCTTCCTGACGGCTGTCAGGCCCTCTACCCTCTCCACACGCTGTCCCATCGCGGCCTCACAGCCCGGAGCCAGAACTCCGCCGCACAGCTGCCTGCACCTGCGTCAGGAGGGACACAGGCGCGTGCTCGACCCCCTGCCGTCCTACCTCGCGGGTCTGTGCTGCCTCAACAGCGCCAAGCCAGACGGCTCCCCCCAGAGCACCAGCACCGCAAATGCCAGGATGCTGTCACTGGCCTGGAAGAGATCTCCAGGGACAGAAAGGTGCCTCACTCACACCCTGAACAAGAGGTGACTGTGAGGAAAGCAGTCATCGGCCACTGCATCGCCGTCTCAGAAGTGCGGAACCTGGAACAGACCTAGTCCCTCGACTGCCGTTTACATACGACTCGGTGACGAGCAGCTGGGTCAGAGCTGCCTCGGCAAGGTTTTCTTCCCTTCTTATTGGCATATTAAAAACAGTGCCTCGTCCGATCAGTGGGTCAGGTCTGATGAGAGAGAAACATACGACTGAACTAGTCTGACACAGGTCAGGCGGACAGCCAGCGTGCTGCGTGGTGATCCGCACACGGCTGGGCTGCCCATGGAAATGCCTCTGTGCTGCCCTCATGTGGTACCAGGCTGGTCTTCCCTCCGTGGCTCATTCCCCAGCATCACGGATTTATTCAGGATGCCGGTCCCACCCGCAGCCTCTAAAAGATACACCCAAAGCCACCGGGCCAGCCCCCTGGACTTGCAACAGCCCATGCTCCAGAAGCTGGCTGGTGCCTGGAATTTCTGAGCCAGGCCCATCGTGACCAGTGGAGGTCTCAGGGTCTGGGGGGCCACGTCTGCCAGTGTGGCCTCGACAACCAGAGCTTCCTGGCCCCCCTGCCTGGGCCTGGCTGAGCTTCCTGCAGGAGACCTGCGGTTTGACAGGAAACCCCTTCCTGTGTGTGACCAGCTGAATGGCATGACTTCTTGCAGTGAAAACTGTCTAACTAGGACCCTCAATGTCCACACCTCATCCAGGTGGATGACGGACAGCTGTGCACATGGGACAGCAGTGACAGAGCTGCCAGGACCCACGACCAGAGCTGACGCTGCAGCGCGGAGTCAGACAAACGGACGCTGCAGGTCTGCCGGACAGAGTGCGCGACATAAAGCAGCAGGCTGAGGCGCACCACGAGGGGAAGGCGTGGGGGGGGCACGATGAACCGACAGTTACACAGGGAGCAGGGCCTGCAGTGTAGTCCAAGTGCAGCCCCGTGAGGTCAGGGCAGACGCGTACCGCCCTCACTCCCACTGCCTCTCGTCCGCAGTCGGCAGGAGCCCAGGGCCGTGAGCACAATGCACCCGAACGAGCAGACCAGGTTTACTGATGGTGCAACCACGTCTCCAGTCACCCCATCACTCACTCACTCTGATGGGGAGTGCCCCGAAAATTCCTCCAAAGTGCATAGGGAGCAAAGTGCCATCTCTACACCTGCCTCCATTGGCACACCCTGCAGACCCACCCACCTGCCTCCATTGGCACACCCTGCAGACCCACCCACCTGCCTCCATTGACACACCCTGCAGACCCACCCACCCGCCTTCATTGGCACACCCTGCAGACCCACCCACCCGCCTCCATTGGCACACCCTGCAGACCCACCCACCCGCCTCCATTGGCACACCCTACAGACCTGCCCACCATCTAGCATGCCAGGCTAGAAAGCCAAAGGATAGTCCTCAGCTCGGGGTTCCAGATGTGGTTTGGGTTCTGCTATGTGGGTCCACTCGTAAAAGATCTTCAGGCCCGAGAGATGGGCCGAGATGAGGGGAAGGCATGCACCAGAGGGCACCGCCACAGCGGAGACAGCTCCCAACCCTGGCAGGGGTGGCTGCAGCTTCCCCCCAGCCCCATCCCATGGAATCATCATTTGGAAGCTGCTTCCCGGAGGCTAAACCTGGAGTGTGGTCTCTGGCCCTCCCCACAACTCTGTCAGCTCCCGGTCCACAGAATGGAACCCTCCTGGTTAAGTACCTGGAGTAGACGCTGTTGCTGTGGTCTGCAGTTAAAAGGGCGACCCCCACAAAGGCCCCTTTCTTCTTTGAGCCCGGACAGGGCTGCTGACACTGCCCGCAAACAGGTGGGGCCCGGGGCCTCCCAGGCTGGGGCGCCGGAAGTCAGCACTGCCTGTGGGAGCTGGCAGCGGCTCAGCACCGCGCGCCGGCCCAGCAGCGTCCTGGTCCTCGTAATTAATCTCATTGCATTTTTCAAATGTTTTGGTCCACACCAGAGAGTAAAAAACAAACCTGGTCTTCTACCCTAGTTTTAGAAATTGATTTAAACACCAATCAAGTCCTGGCTGGTTTGGCTCAGCGGTTAGGGCGTCGGCCTGTGGACTGGAGAGACCCGGGTTCGGTTCCCGCTAAGGGCACGTACCTCGGTTGCAGTCTGTCCCTGGCCCTGGTTGGGGTTGTGTGGGTGGCAACCACTCAGTGTGTCTCTCTCACATCAATGTTTCTCTCTCTCTCTTCCCCTCTCTCTCCCTCCAGCTCTATCTGCAGATAAATGCAAAAAAATGTCCTCTGGTGAGGATAAAAAAAATAAAGTTTAAACACCAATCAAAAGATACTTTTCCCCTGCTTTAAACCCCTCTCATAGCTCCCTACTGACCCCGAGTGACCTGAATCCTTACCCAGCCACCACCGCCTACCTCATTTCCTACAGCCCACCCCCTCCCCCGCTGTGGCCACCGTGGCCTCTCACCTCACAGTGGCCTTGGGCTGTGGCACCAGCTGTCCCTCTCACACCGCGGAGTCCTGTCTGGGTCTCTCCTCACCCGAGCGTGAGCTCCATGGGAGGGAGCTGTGTCTGTTCTTAGCCACCCCACACTGGGTCCCCCCTGGAGAGCAGCCCATAGCATGTCAGCGAATGAGACAGCCTCTCCTGATTTGCCTAACCTACCTCTTTCCAGGGGAGCCTGGACTCCTCTGGCCACAACCACCTCTGCCTCATCGGATATCTATGGAGGGAGAGAAAATGACCCCAAGCAACTCACTTTTCCTCATGGTTTTACTTTCATAGTTTATCTCGACAATGGACTATAATCTCTGATTCAAAAAGTGCATCATGCCCAGCTGGTGTGGCTCAGCGGTTGAGTGCTGACCCATGCACCAAGAGGTCACCGGTTTGATTCTCGATCAGGACACATGCCCAGGCTGTGGGCCTGGTCCCCAGTGGGGGACATGCAGGAGGGGGCTACTCAATGTTCTCTCTCATCGATGTTTCTATCTCTCTCTCTCTCCCCCTTCCTCTCTCTGAAAATCAATAAAGAAAAAAAATTAAATTTAATTTAAAAATGCATTTTATCTGCTGCTTGTCTGCCCCTGCTGGCCCTTGGCAACTGCCCTGTGTCCCAGCAGACAGCTCACTTAGGCTGCAGGAACATTCTCACAGGTCATCAACTGCTTCTTCAGCATTAACAGTGCTATGCAACATCCTGATTGTCCAAGAGACAAGTAGTGTAAATGAAATGAATTCTCATCCTAGTAGGAAAAGCTTTAGGGACTGATTTGCTTTTCAGTGAGTGAGTATCAGAGCAAGAGCAAATAATGAGTGAGTGTGTATTCAGCTGAGACACTGAGCCAGGGCCAGGAACAGAGGGAGGCCCAGGGCAATACAGCGTAATGGTTAAGGTTCCCAAGACACACTTGACTTTACATTCTAGCTCTGCTATTTATTAGCAACTTAACTTTGGCTCATTACTTAATCCTTCAAGCCTCAACTTCCTCATCTGTAAAATGGGCATGGTGATAACCGTGCCAACCACAGAGGGCTGTCAAGAGGCAGTGTGTGGGGTGGCTAAGAACACACACTCAGGAACCAGCCTAAGTTCAGATCCCAGTTCTACCACTTCCTAGGGACAGAACCTGGGACAGTGACCTCTCTCTGTGCCTCAGTTTCCTCGTCTCTAAAACGGGGATCATGACAACATGTGGCCGACAGGGCCGCAGTGAGAGCAAGTGAGCTCATCCCTACAAGGCGCTAAGAGCAGTGCCCGGCTCGTGCCGCACCCACCAGCCAGCAGCTGTCCCCACTGGCACCTCTCCTCAGCTCCGAGGCGGGCCTTTTGTTCCGCTGAACATCTCCGACGTCAGGATGCAGATCCCAACATCAGCCCGGCCCTGCGGGCTGCTGCCCCGTGTTCTCGCATCTCTGACGCTGGGTCGCCCTGGCCGCGGGCCGTGTGTGTGGGAGGGTGTCAGCGCCCCCGCCTGTGCTGGCGCCGCCTGTTTCCTAGGCTCCTCGCAGACAGACACCGAGAGATGTCTGTCTCCAATTTCACAGTTCCCCTACCACTGCAATCAGATACTTCTTTCTAAACAGAGCTTTCTCAAAGGTCTAAACACACAGAAATTTGCCGGAGATTATCCCCTCGCCTTGAGTTTTGCAATAACACACTCCGGGAAGCAGCGATCAGAATCCCAATATAAGACACGTCTCGCACAGAGAGAATTGTTACCAACCCAAGGAAGTGATTATGTAGAAAGTAAGATCTTGCCCTGGCCAGTTTGGCTCAGCAGTTAGACGTCGGTCCGAGGACCAATGAGTCTCGGGTTCGATTCCGGTCAAGGGCATGTACCTCGGTTGCAATTTGTCCCCAGCCATAGTTGGTCGGGTCATGCGGGAGGCAACCAGTTGATGTGGCTCTATCACATCCATGTTTCTCTCTGTCTCTCTCTCTCTCCCTCCCTCTCACTCTATCTGACAGTAAGTAGAAAAGTGTCCTCAGGCGAGGAATGAAAAAAGAAAGCAAACTCTTGGCTCACTGGTGCAAAGATGGCTGCAAAGGCCTGGCGGCGCGAGCGCGGCTTCTCTCGGCTGCACTGCCCCCAGCGCCCTCTGCTGGACACACCCCTCTGCGCAGAGGCAGCAGGTGTCGGGAATGTAATCCCACGGTAACACTCCAGGTACCTGGGCTGACGCGGGGCAAGTGAGATTCCCAGGTAAGTGAGTTCACTCCGTGAACATGAACTCTTCTCTACTGCAATCATTTTTTTTTTATTCCCTCTATTGATTTTTTAGAGAGAGGGGAAGGGAGAGGGAGAGATAGAAACATCAATGAGAGAACATCAACTGGCCGCCTCCTGCACGCCCCCCACTGGGGATCGGGTCCACAACCTGGGCATGTGCCCTGACCAGGAATCGAACTGGGTGGGACCTCTTGGTGCAGGGTCGACGCTCAACCAGGGAGCCACACCGGACGAGATCTACTGTAATCATTTTAAACAGGACTCTTAGAAACTTCTGATTCACTTTCCTACCTTTCCATGGGTGCTAAGTGAAGTGGGTGGCGCCCACCTGCAGAATCTGGAGACTTGCAGCATTTGCCCCGACAGCTCCCGATGTTTATTGTTGTTTTCAGGCTCATGTACAAGGCCTGTATTTTCTGCCTCCCCATCGACGGGACTGTCACTGGCCACTTTCCGCTGTGGCTGGTGTGCCGACTTCTAGAAGCCATTCTAAGAGCTCCATTTTTAATAGGGTTTAGACCAAGAAAGCAGATCTAACTTTGTTCGAATTGTACTTAAAACAAGATTAAACCTGACTGAGAGGTTACCTATGAGTGAAATACACAAGGTTTCTAATGATAAGAAATACCATACAGTCCCAGATATGAATTTCCTATTTTCCCAAAAAGATCCAAAAGTTTTTGGATCCAAACATTTTAGGTCAATTTTTATGGATGTAGAAAAATATACCCATGTATTCAATTTAATTTACTAAAACACACATTTTAAATCACATGTAAAATACATTACTTTGCGATAGCGCTCCCCGCCCCCCCTTGAAGCGATGGTAGTTGCGCCTCCCCAGCCCGGCTCAGCAGGTGCCTCCCTGCAGGGACCGCGGGCCCTGCCTGTTCCCATTGCGCTCCATCTGCAGTGTGGCCTAAATTGTTTGAGCTAATACAGCAGTTTTTAAATCATCAATGATGCTGTCATGAAAATTCTATTCCAAGCCCTAAGTAGTCACTTACATGATATTAGTCTATTTTTTTTATTTGTCCCATCAGCATGATGTGACCTGTGAAATGTAATACTTCCTGGGCGCTTTCTCAGTGACAGTGACAAGGCTCATTTGTCCTGACATCTAACACAACTGTGAGTCACACCCCCAGGGACATCTGTTGAATGTGGGCCAAATATCTGCCTCTCCTCCATCTCCCTCAGGTGACCTCTGTGGCTCCAAGGCCAGCCCGGCGGTCGGCCCGGCCACAGTGCCTTCCTAGAAGGCTTCATTGTTCAGGGGAGAGTAAAGGAAAGCACGCTGTCTGTCGTTCCGGAGACTTGGGAAGGACCCACATATAAGGAGATTCCCTCTCATCCGAGGGATTCTTTGGGGGGAAGCCCTGCCTTATTCTGAGGCAGGAACCGAATGTCGATCAGCAGCAGAGCCTGAGAAGAGTGACCCTCGCAGTGGGGACCCCAGGGAGGAAGGCCGGAGCTGGCCCCCACTGTCCTGTGCGCCATCCTCATCCATGTCACTGGGGGGGGGGGGGGCGGCGGCCTGGTGGCCCTCCTTCTCATTTGCCAGAAAAACCCTCCCGAGGTGGTTTTCTATTGGTCCTATGAATTTATACATAATTACTGCACTCAGTGACTATCGACCTTGAGAACAAACAAAGTATTATGAACTACAAGCTTTAAAATAAGTTCTTACATTAGCTTTCAAATTATGCTACATACCTCGTATCAGTTCATAAATATTCATGTCCATAAGTTCACATATTAGTGCAAGAGAACCAGATTTTCTGTCACTGAAGAAGAAAGCAGGTTTTTAAAATGTTTTCGGGTGTCTCAACCAGAAAATATAATCAAATATTTAATTCATCTATAAACATGTCTGCTAAACATAAAGTACTCCTACATCAGACAGACTGAGTGTATGACTGAAACACAAGTTTTGATTTTAAAATTTTCAGGTAAAACTAATTTGAAATAATAGTAAAACCCTATTTTAAGCAAAACCCCTAACAGCCCCACCCTCATGTTTAAAGACATGTCTTGACAATTAAAAATGAACTCTCAGCAGGAGAGATGAGGTTGGGGAGGTGGCCAAGCAGAATGACCAGAGTGAGGACTTGTCACTCCCACGACACTGGGATACATTACAAGGTGGGGAGGGTCCAGGGGAAGGCTGAAAGACGAGTGCCATCACCCCTGTGCAATGGCAGGCTTTGCACAGAGGGGACAGAGGCCTCTGGCTGAGCCGTGGGCTTCTCCTGAGTTCAAATAGCCCCGAAAGGGATCCCTACCCCCGGGACGCTCAGGGTGCCTCCAGTGGGGCTGGGAGGGTCCCCACTGTCTCTCAGGGCTGTCAAGAGGCCCACGTGCAGTTCTAGACAGAAGCACTTTCTAAAGTGCAGAGTTGTGACTATCACACACAGACTGTAGTCTCTAGAAGTGGCTCAAACTGACTGCTCAGAGCACTGCAGGCCAGGAGGCCACGAGGCTACAATGAGACAGTTTATACGGAGCTAAAATGGTCTATCCTTTGATGACCATCTGCCGCATGCTAGGTGGCAGGGACTGTGACTCCCTGGCAGGCTCTAGAGGCCAGGCCACCTTCTCAGGGATCAGCACCTCACCGACCCAGGGAAAGGCAGGGCCTGGAACCCCGGCTGAGCCTCGCTCAGGGTCCGGGGTGCAGGGCACAGCTGCCAGCACCTGGGGACCAGCTGTGCCCTGCCTTCCTGATTGGGAGGTAAGCCGTATGGGAACTGTCCCATAGTTAGACCAGAAATGAAAGATCCCCTGAAACTATCAGTTGTAGGAAGAAAGGCTACAGGAGACTGCAGAGATGAGCACGGAGGGAAAGGGAGATAGAACCATGTTTTCCCGGCGGGTTGTAATTCACACTTGAGGCCTCAGGAGCTGCCGCCAGCCACGTCCCTCAGGCCAGGAGCATGTGACTTACGCTTTTACGACAGAGCCGCCTAAATGAAGGCACTGCCGCATCAGGAATCAGGGGCACAGCTGACCAGATAAATATGTGACTTAAAATAAAAAGTGTTACTCTCTGGGCTACCAAGAAAATATCTCCAATGCCTACCCTCCCTGATTTTCTTCCTTAAAAAGAGATTTAATCATTATCATCAAATTTAGATAACTTTCAAAGGCCCACATACTTACAAAACCACTTCGTGCAACGTGAGGATGTTTGGGTGTGGATTCAGGCGCCTCAGAGCTTGTACCTCTCGGAGACTGTTCACTTGCTCAATGCTATTGTGTAGGCAAAACAAAGAACTGACTTATCATTTAGGCCGACTTCAGAATCCGGGCTATCACGTCACTATTTTTTATCCACGGCCACAATGGAAAACTCACAAATACTGCAAGCAAATCAATCAGGTTGTATTTCTCCCAATAGAAGTTGAAATTCACTATATCGCGTTTCTGCATTATCTTACAAAAATCAAGGTGCTTAGCCCTGGCCGGTTTTGCTCAGTGGTTAGAGTGTCGGCCCGTGGACCAAAGAGTTCCGGGTTCAGTTCCTGCTAAGGGCATGTACCTTGGTTACAGTTTGTCCCTGGCACCGGTGGGGGTTGTGTGGGTGGCAACCAGTCGATGTTTCTCTCTTTCTCTTCCTCCCTCTCCCGCTCTGTCTGAAGATAAATGCAAAAATATCCTCGGGTGAGGATAAAAAAAAAAAATCAAGGTGCTTAGAGCTTTGGTCATATATTCAAATTTTCCCCCTCTAAGCTCCTGAAAGCATACCTTGGTAGTTTCTTTTACTATTAATAAACACAGACAGACTTATTAAAATGTCCTATTAATCAGTTTATGGGAACTAACCAACTGAGCAGTGTAAATGCCGCGTAAAAATCAGCATTTTGGATTTCCACAAACAGACGCGCCCTTTCTCCCCATCGTTACTGAAGGCTGTCCTTTCAACTTCGTCACCTGCTGACAGGCGTTCGCTCAGCAGGTGCCCTGCTGCAGGCTTTTCTTTAAGAAGACCGCTGTGCCTGACACCCTGCTCACAGCCAAACTCCCATCAACACATGCAGCAGAGGCCGAGGGCTTGGGGCTGCACGGCCCTCAGACAGAGCCTGGCCTCCCTCCGGCGCCGGGCCCAGGGCTCACACTGTCAGATGACTCGTTCCATCAGAGATGTTTCATCTCAGAGGTTCTGAGAGGAAATGATTGTGGGGATCTTCTTTCTTTGAACTGGTGAAATTCCATTCTATCCACTTTTTTAAAAATGATTTTTTATTGCTGAGACTATTACAGATGTCCCCCATTTTCCTCCCCTTGTCTCCCTCAACCTGGCTCCCGCCCCACACCAGGCCTTCCCCATGATATCATCTGTGTCCACGGACTATGCACATATTCATATAACTTCTCTGGTCAATCTCTTCCCGCCTCACCCCTTCCCTGTGAGCTTTGTCAGTCTGTTTCATGCCTCCATGTCTCTGGACCTATTTTGTTCATCAGTTTATTTTGTTCATTTGATTACACATATAAGTGAGATCATGTGATACTTGTCTTTCTCTGACTGGCTAATTTCGTTTAGCATAATAATTTCCAGATCTATCTATGTTTGCCTCAAAAGGTAAGAGATCCTTACTTTTCACAGCTGCGTAGTATTCCATTGCGTGATAAATGTACCACAGCTATTTTATCCACTCATCTACTGATGGGCACTTGGGCTGTTTCTAGATATTAGCTATTGTAAATAATGCTGCTATGAATATAGGGTGCATACACTCTTTCTGATTGGTGTTTTGGGATTCTTAGGATATATTCCCAGAAGTGGGATCACTGGGTCAAACGGCAGTTCCATTTCTAACTTTCTGAGGAACTCCCCCAGCTCCCTCAGCGGCTGCCCGTCTGCCGTCCCACCAGCAGTGTACTCGAGCATACGGTGTGAAGCTCAGCACTCTGTTTATTTATTCCATAGTCCACTGTTGTTTTAAATCAACATGGCTGAATAGCGAGGTCTCTCTCATGCTAGCCAACAGATGGGATCCTGATACAGGATCCTGAGTAGTCTGAGTGGAAGGATATTTTGGACTAAAAGTTTTAGACCTTCCTTTCATCAACATCCCCCGATATCCTCGCTCACACCTAGGATGATATTTAAAATGTTAGCAACCTGTGTGCCAGTCAACAAACAACCAGAAAAGTCACAGCTCACAGCCTGGGAACAGGGTCCGAAAGGGGGGCCCTGTGGTTGCTGGTGAGAGGGAGGTCTGGGAAATGCTGGGCGGGGGCTGGGCGAGGGCTGGGCGGGGGCCAGGCGGGGGGCAGTGGAGCTCAGGACAGCAGCTACTGAGCACCCCGAACAGGAGGCCCTCATCTTCCAATAACAACAGGGAAGTCTTCCGGAACTGCGTGACTTTCCTATAACTCACGTACAATGGGTGGATTTTGTGATATGTCAATTATATCTCTATAAAGCTTTCAAAAATATAATGAAAATCCAAATTATTTGGCATAGTTCTATTTGAGACTTTCTTTTCAGATGTTCCCTTTACTTAGAAACCCTGGACCTCTTTGTTTTGATCAAGCCACATAGTCTTTCTTCAGCTTTTTTTTTTTAATCAGTTAGAGTGGGAGGGAGAGAGGAGGAAAGAGAGAGAGAGAAACATTGATGTGAGAGAGACACATTGAGTGGCTGCCACCCACATGAGCCCAACCGGAGCCAGGGAAAAACTGCAACCGAGGTACTTGCCCTTAGCGGGAACCGAACCCGGGACTCTCTAGTCCACAGGCTGAAGCTCTAACCGCTGGCCAGGGCAAATATAGTTGCATCTTAAAAATAACAAATAGGTATGAGCCAGCTGGTAGAGATCCGGGGCGCTGGGTGTTGGGTACCAACTGCCATCCTCATTTCTCCAGAGGGGCTGCTGCCTCCCCGGGGCCCGTGTGTTCCCCTGCTGAAGCCAGCAGTTCGTCTCAGCGTCGAATCTGTGTGTCACCCGTCTGCGGCTTGGCCTCTGTCAGCACTGAACACCTTGTATTGCCATCACCCTTAGAGATGACTCCCGAGACTGCCTCCTCCACCGTGATAGGCCTCTGGAATCAAAACAGTTTTTTCTGCATCCTGAGGTTTGTATATAAGTCTCTCGTCTACCGAATCCTATTTGTAAACCAAATATCCGTAGATTTAAGTTCGTTGTTGTCTCTGCAGGACCAACTACGGGATGGTCTCGCACTTGCTGTGGTTCTGGCCACATGGTGACAGGTTTCGCAGTGGAAGGCAGTCCCAGGTGCTGAGAAGGCTGTGGCCGTGCACCTTTCCAGAAGGATCTAGGTCTGTCCTCTACATCAGCTCCGACCACACTTGGGTTCACAGGGTTCAGGTATTTCTGCTCTGTAGCTGTGGGAACAGTTTCCCACGGGTGGTCAAAGACGTACCCCGAAGATCAGGTCTTCATGGAGCCAGCAGCCTGCGCCACGGTGGTTGGCGCATCACATGCCACGGCTGTGCCATGATGTCACCACCCATGCCACGGCTTCGTGATTCCAGCTTTTTACCACTGTCACCGATGTTGTAACAAACATCGTGGGGCTGGACCCTCCCCACAAGGAATACTTCTGGGCCCAGATGACTTCACTGGTGCATTATTTCAAACACTTAGAAACACTCTTGCACACTTCCCAGAAGAAGAGGTGTGAACGGCCAACAAGCAACGGCCTATGCAGATGTGGGTCCACACTCCTTGCCAGCTGGGTGACCAGGCAGGTTAGGGGACTCTCCCGACCACGGCTCCCTAACCTGAAAGCTGGCAGCACGCGTCGCCCTCTGGGCCGCAGTGAGGACTACTGAAGGGTGCAGGAGACCCCAGGGCGGGCAGGGCGGCCGGTGCTCCGAGCCACCGCTGTAGTCCCCTGGCATCGTGGCTTCCCGTGCCCGCTTCTCCTTTCTCACGCCACCCACACTGTGCAGGGCCACCGAGATGATGAGAAGCAAAGCAGAAATGGGTTTTTAAATGTATGTATTTTTTATCCTCACCCGAGGACATTTCTGTATTTATCTTCAGATAAATCCTTACCAGTGGAAGAAGCGGAAGAGCCACGCCAGTCGGTCCAGATCTCCGATGGCTGGTTTTGTTTGTTTCTTTGGACTGTTTTTCACTTTCCAGTTTGAAATTATTTCAGACTAACAGAAGAGTCACAAGGACAGCACAGAAAGTTCCCTTCAGCCAGCTTCCCCTAATGTTAACATCTTACATAGCATTTATCAAAACTAAAACTAACATGGTACAACTCTGTTACTAAACTAGACACTTTATTCGAATTCCCCGGTTTCCCCACGGATGTCCTTTTCTCCTCCAGGATCAAGGTACTGCAGAGCGGTCAGGGTGTCCCCTTAGTCACCTCCACCCTGGGGCAGTGCCACAGTGTCTTTGCTCTTCCATCACCTGGACAGTTCTGAGGTGTACTGGGCAGGTATCTGTAGGACGCCCCTTCTTCTGGGCTCGTCTGATGTATTCTCATAATGAAACCGAGATTATGGGTCTTTGGGAAGAAACACCATGGTGGCAATATGCCCTTCCCAGCCCTATGTCAGATAGCACATGACATCAGTGTGTCTTACTACTGATGGTGTTATTTTTAGTCATTTAGTTAAGGTGGTATCTTCTAGTGACTGAAAAGTCACTATCTTTTCCTGTGTATTTGCTGTTTCTCAGAAGCAAGTCACTAAGTCCAGCCCACACTCAAAGGGAAGAAAATTAAGCCCCGCCTCCTAGAGGAAGGGATATTGAATAATCTGTGGATATAAATTCAAACCACCACAGTAGCCCTGGCCAGTTTGGCTCAGCGGTTAGAGCGTCGACCTGTGGTCCAGAGAGACCCGGGTTCGGTTTCCGCTAAGGGCATGTACCTCAGTTGCAGTTTGTCCCCGGCCCTGGTTGGGTCGTGTGGGTGACAGCCACTCGATGTGTCCCTTTCACGTAGATGTTTCTCTCTCTCTCTCTCTCTCCCCCCCTCCGGCTCTATCTGAACAAAATATTGAAAATGTCCTCGGGCGAGGATTAAAAAAAACCACAAAACACCACAGTAATTGTACATTTGGGGGACATCGTTTGAAGCTGCGCAGAAATCTTGTTCTCTTTCAAGTTTCACCTACTAAACACTAGCATCATCAGTCTATCTTGCCTGCAGAAATGAACACTGTGCTTCCGAGGATGGTTTTCTAGTTCCTTCATATCTGCTGTGTTTATTAACTGGAATTTTCCTATAAGGAAGAACTGTCCCCTCATCCCAAATTA